AAAATTATGAATTAAATCCTCAATATGCGACTACACATATACAAAAACAACTCTCAATAGTGTCTTAATTTGATGGAAAAATTTTAATGAAATAACAAAAAACAATCCATGGAAGGAACCTCAGCTTGTTCATGGAATTAATACTAGTAAGATAAAAATAAAAGACTAAAAAAAGTATAAAAAGAGAAGACAACATTAATAGATAAACAATACCATAGCTGAGAGTCTAGGCAACCAGAGAAGCAAGTGGCACCCATGGGGGGAATAATAATAAAAATGGGCGAAATTCAAGGAAATATGTTTGTTTACGAGCGACAAACACGACATATCCATGTAAAATGGCATTAATATAGTTTTACTCCGAAATTTCATATTTTTCATGAATATAATAACCATCTAATGATTTAGCGGGATACATGCATCTCCCTATCGCATTTTACGAGAGAAAACGGGACCCTTATATGAAAAGTATATGAGGCAACTATGGGAGAAAAAATAACAAATCAATCATGAACTAAAGTTAAAATTAAATCAGGTGAAAGAAGTTTTATAAAAAGCATGAAAAGCAATAAAAAGATATTATAAGGAAACAAAATGAATATTATCACCAAAGACGAGCAGTGAGTTGTGTTTTTATACCCTTTCTTAATTAAAAAGATTCTGTAAAACCTTTACATAGCTTTACCTTTCTATTTGACTCCTCTGATCAGATTTATCAACTTTATTATAAGGAAAAAAAGGTGTTTGGAAGAACTTTGCTTACAGAATACTTCGCTTTTTTGAGTCCTGAGATTCACACTACATTCAACCTAAGCATAGTCACACTTCCCCCAAGCCATAAGCTTTTGAAAGACGATAAGAATAGGATCTCAACTAAGTTTGTCACAATCTTGGAACTTTGTGATGACATAGATCTATTTAAATTCATTCGCAAGCTACTCTTATTTTATATCATCCCTTTCAAGATAAGGGATTCAGATATTGAACATAAGATCAATCACTCCCTACTTCCCATATCGGCCTTAGGCCCATCTAATCGCTTGACTGTTTCACAAATTAAAATATCTGGAAGAGTTCCTTTAATCCAATCAAAGCTCTCTATACCACTTCTGCCTCGACTGGGCAAAACCTCCTAACACTTTCGCAACACTCCTACCTATGACAAGGAGGATTCTGGGCATCGGTCGGTCGTCAGTTCAAACCGGGACGCCGGTCAACGTAGAGTTAGCTCCCTTTTCGTTGAGAATGACGAGTTTCAATTCTACGATCCATTAATGGGTAGTATCACCGTAAACACTGTAGGAGCCGGCGTCATACATACTCTGCAGACCGAGACCTGCTAATCCTACATTGCACATTGGGAGCTGGGGATTATACATGTTAGTGGCATTTTTATCTGGTAAGCCTTCGGCGGATGACGTGGCGTTTTGGAAGTTGTTTGCTCGATCAATGCATTGATCTGCCTAATGTGGCCCTTAAAAGCATCCGTCATTATAATGAGTGTTTGTCTCGGTATAGTCATCTGTTATCCCTTACAACTGCTGCATACTATTACCATAGGAAGCACCAGCGGAAGCAGCCTGCATTTGGAACTTCTGCATAAGCTGCTCATTAAAGAGGTTTATTCGCTCATTTGATGCACCATACCACGCTGCATAGCGTACATCACCATACATTGCGTGCTATCCTCTGCTGAACGGTACATGTTCACCCTTTAATGAGATTATCTTCCTAGAAAAACCTTAAAATTTATGCGGAGGTAAGATCTGTTATCGAAGTAAATTTTAGCCGCTTAAAATAAGTAGGCTAGTGAACGAATTAAATGGGGTAGAGAACAGCACAGCGTACATGAGTACCAGGATTAGAGTTGTCGTACAACGTTTCGCTTTCACTCCCTTGCACGTGTAAATTTTCGTACTAATAGCTTTCGACAACGATTACCAGTTTAGGAACAACTATTATGATGAATAAAGCGAAGATAACAAAAGCTTATAATTGTATTGCAAATATGTATAAATGCATGCATGATTAGGTATCAGGATCAACTATTAATAAAAAATAAATTAAATAAAGAGCACTCATATTTATGAGTTTATGGAAATATGTATTACACAAAATTTTTCGTTGAAAGGAAAGAGAAAATACGAAACACTCGGAAATTGGAAAAACAAATGTCTTTGTGGATTCTTGGAAAGCAAGTAATTCAATAACCATAGTGAAATGAGAAGATCCCACTTACTGTGGTTTGGGGGGGTAGTTTAACGATATGAATATAATTCTCCGCTCCAGTCTTCCCTAATGACGCCCTGAAACACAGATCATTGCTGTATTTCGGCGGAATACCACGTCTGTTGGCTATGGTAATATGCGCGAAGTAGTTGTCACAGGGAAACTCCCTACCGTCTTGGTTACGAACCACAACCGCGGTACCATTCAAATCAGAAAGAACCCACAAGAGGGTCAGCTCAATTTTCTGGTTATGAAGGGTAAGCAGTTGTGCTAACATGAAATCATCGCGAATACCGCCAAAATACTTGGTTGTTACATGAAAAGAGCCTTGAACGATCTTGTTTGTGAGGAATTTCCGTCGGATATGCGGCAGAAGGCGTGAATTGGGATCTTCAATGACAATTGAAGCATAGATAGGTAAGCTTACATGATTTCTCGGACAGCATAGCTTCCCATACTCACGTGCAATATTCAGTGCGGCCTCTACATTGAATGTTTTCAAGTTTGGAAGTTTATGCTTTCCGTTCTTTTCCAAGCAGTCCCACACCTCCTGAATCATCTGCGGCAGTGTTAGGGACATGTCCAGCATGACCACAGGGCCAGTCGATAGTTCGTCGTCCTCGAATGTGGAAGTTGGCGGGTTTCCAGGTGACCTTTCAATTCTAGTTTCCCTTTCATCAGCTGAAGCAGGAACCCCTTGCAAGTCAAGTCCATTGTGTTTTACACTGTCATTTGCAAGGCTTTCTGAGCACGCAGCATCTATTCTGGAGTCGACATCTGTGTGTGACCACAACACCGTCACAGCTAGCTGCAGTCCCTCGGATCTTATTGGAGTGGATTTATCAACGAGCATACCATCCAGAATGAGATGTGTAAGTCTCGATATGGGAAGCACAGCATCAGTGACTTTAGCAAGGCACTCGTCATCATCACGTGTGTGGCTTCTGTCAATCGATAAAGGCATAAAGTAAGCTTGCTTAAGAAGAACAAAAAGTGTTTGAGCTAAAATTGGCTTGTCGGAGCCAGGAACCCCATCAAGTTGGATGAAGTCGATCACCTTCTCAATATTGTTCCTTCTAGGGTTGTTTTTTTCATAGTATTCACTGAAGTTCTTCAACTCATTTTCATTGGCAGATGAGCTTGTAATTTTATCCTGTTTAGGGTGTGGATTGCACGGATTAAAGGTCATAGTGCGTTTTATGAATAAACTAAGACTCTTGAAATGAACAGTAGCCTAGTGAACAAATTAAATGGGGTAGAGAACAGCACAGCGTACATGAGTACCAGGATTGGAGTTGTCGTACAACGTTTCGCTTTCACTCCCTTGCACGCGTAAATTTTCGTACTAATAGCTTTCGACAACGATTACCAGTTTAGGAATAACTATTAAGCTTTTGCTATCTTCGTTCCATTCATTATTCTAAAAAAAAAATCAAATCATGCCAGGTTTGTTTTCACTTTTAGTGGACTTTCGCACCGACCGTTCCATAAAACAGGAATAAGAACTATTGTAGATCAATAACGTTGTTCCGTGACACTGCAGTCGCGCATATCACAGATACTAGAGTAAATATTGTGATGAATGTTATTCAGAACACATGAACACGGAATCTTTGCTGGGAACTTGTGCGTTGTTTTGGGGAAAGTCGAAACCTTTTTCTAAAATTTTGTGGTGATATCAAGAATTCATAAATCATTTCTATTTAAATGTACTTTCTACATTCCTGTTTTCATCGAATGCATTATTAAGCATTGCTTCATAAAAACGAATTTCAGCATCATTGCCGTTCGCAAATGTGGTCTGCGAATGGCAACTCTATCACCGTAGCACGTTCAGCCTCGCGCCACACTGATATGTTGAAATAACTTCAGATGCAATTTGCCATCTCTGAACCACTGTTTGTCACTCAATTAAGAAGTTCGTATACAATAGGCTAGAGTCGAAAGAAAAATTTAGGACACATCATAGTAGGTCACAAGATCCTCTTCAAGAAAGTCACAGCATAAAACAATGTACACACCCTTTGTCCATTCATCTTGTATGATTAACCTCCTAAGATTAAAGTTTTTATATTTAGAACCCTGTCGTTCTATCTATATCTTTCAGTAAAACTGATCATTTCACTAGAGTAACCGTGAATGACATTATAGTCAATATCACACACATGATTCAGAGGTATCAAAAGGCTAGAATATTATTTCTATTCTATTAACATTAACATGTAGATATCGAACTACACAAATTTAAGTCTTTAGTGTGGTGAAAAATATTTATACACTCTTCTGCGTTTTCCAACATCCACAGTTCAGTTAGCTCATTCCTGATTAATGTTGATATCGGAACAACTTGATGACCAATGCATAAATATTGAATTTCGCTTACTTATTCTGCATAGGTAGTGGGCATAATATTCTAACCAGTTTATGTAAACTTAATAGGTGGTGTTGTGGGATATCCCTAGTTGAGTTCCAATTTTTAAAAATGATGATGACTATTGCGTCTATGTTCTCTGTTTCACTCATTCCCTATATTGATGAGAATTGTAGGGATGCACTTTTCAAAGGTAAGCATAACGTTTTAATAGTTGTCCTGTAAGCACTGTCAATGACCTTAAGAATATGTGTTTTTCATGGATGTTTGACATTCCCAAATTCTTTTTGTACTGACACTTTTCGGTTTTTTAGATAACTTAGTAAGCGGTATGATCTTTATAAAGCCTTTTCCAAAAAAAATGTTGCTGTTAACCCTTGTGAAGTTGGCGGATCTTTCATGGCAACTTTTAACTCTGACTTTAGTGGGGTTAGATTTTTTTGTGTGTATATATGACGAATTGATTGCACAAGTGTATGTTTATTTATAGTTATTACAGTCCGTTTTCACTTCAAGATACCTGTAATCTAGAAACTATCATTGCACCACTTAAGGTAAAATAGTTCTACAAATCTATTGACATCCAGCCTTCACATGAACCTGTCTTTCAAAAATAAAAGCAGATCTTTGAATAAAATTATGATGTACATAGCAAGGTAAATCAAAAATATTAATATACTCAATTTTTCATATGTTACACCTGTGTCGTTAAATATTCTACCCTTTCTAGTGTTTTCGATTAAGAAATGAAAATGATAATAAGTCATTCCCTTGAAAACTGCCAACACAACTCCGCGTGGAAGCTGATCAGGCAGGCAGAGGTAAAAACAAAAGGAACGCGCGACTTTGAACCAAAAATAGGGATCAGTGTCTGAATAAATACAGAACGATGGTCTAGTCTGGTTCGAAGTCTATATCATCACAAATATTACTTTAGTAGGCTCATTAAACGCGAAAAATCTACCTATTTGAAACTATGTAAAAGCACAGTGATGGACAAAAAGGTAACACAACAAAAAAATTACACGGAAAAGATATAGATTGTAATAACTGGTAGTGAAAACTTTCTTTAAGAATACTATAATTTGCTATTACTCGTTAAATCGATAAAATACAACTAAAAAGTATAAGAAATGAGAACTTAGGTCATTAAACAAAAATGTGAATGAGTTTCGTTCAACAGAGGAAAAAATAGTGGATTATCGACTATGCACATAAATTTCAAAAGAAAACCAATGCGTTGGGGAAGTCAGAGTGTGTCAATTATGCACGCTTGAGATTAAGCATTAGTAAGACAAAGAAGAAGCAAACCGACGGAAAACAAACCAATAAATATGAAAAATATTCGATTTCGAACCTTTCTGTCCCTTGCTACGGGTGTAACCCTCATTTCATCAAGCCTTGATTAACCTCCCACATTCTGAATTTCTCTATTCATGTTCTCAAATCAGTCCATAGGCATGCAGCATTACCTAGTTAACGCCTTGCCACAGCAAGATGAAGTATTTACTTTACACCAGTAATTCTGGACTTTTCTGTTATGCCCCAACCTTACATTTCACAATACCGCTACGCAGCTACAAATTAAATACCCTTACAGAATATCTTGCGTAAGTCTTGGGGACGCCCGAGGCCCGTGAAGATAAACAGCTTGCCAACGAAGAGATAATATCTGCCCCACCCCACTTGCAATGGTAACAATGGGGCCAAGCACCGCAGCCATACGATATTTAATACATTCCTTTTGGGGATAAAAGTAAAGGCCCTGTCAGAAGGCAAACTATAATAGTGAATCTTTCTTACCTCAGCAAAGGCCAACAGGACTTGCTAAGAACATAAGAGCTATGAAATATGAGAAATCAAGCTTACCAACCCGCCCGCCCACAGCCTATCGGTGTGAAAATAGGCTAAAATACGAAAATATGTCCCCCCCCCCCCCTTCAGAAAAACTTTAAAGAGGTCCCCCAAACACACGCGCCGCAGCCTGCCACAAACTGCTTCGCTGTGAACATGACTTAGAAAACAAAATATTGGTTACTCGCTGATCTTGTATCACTAGATAAACACTTGAATCCGAATCTTTAAATAAATAAAATAGTATGAAAATATTTAAATAACCACTAGAACGCCTCGATGGAATATTGGGATACCAGCGCCTATTCTTATCCAGCGCAACAGGGTTAGTAAAACACCACACCCGCTCGCGGAATGGAAATTTAATTATTACACGATAAAATGAACTATTATAAAGCCTTTCCGGTATCCGATGGATTCACTATTAAATATCCGACAGCACAGTTATACGATCATCTTGATTCCCTATCGGTTAATAAATACTAGCGATGTTGTTAAAACGGCATCCAAAAATGGTAAAAGTGAAAGCGATTCATATGCGGGCATAACCCGAGCCAAATTCAAAAAAACAATTAAAACTAGCGCAGAAGAGTGAAAATATATATTTATATGTTGCCTAGTGCCCCGAGAGACCTAAAAGCTCCTATCGCTCAGCATGCCTAGAAATTTTGGAAAAAGAACCATTGTTTTTGCAGCCCCCACACACTAGTCAGATTTATTGCATGCAAGCTGTCCGAGATTTAATAAAATGCACAGAATTTCCCCTAACCTATAAGTGCGCAAAAAAAATCTTAATCTTATTTATAAATAAAGAGTTATATAGAATGGTAATTTAATATAGTGTTTTAATATTTTCATGGCACGTAAAAATTTTTGTCGTGTAATAGGAATTAATGCAGCATAAAAAAAAGAGTAGAGTACATTTCTTAGATAAAAGTCAAATAATATTTATTATAGAATAATTTTCACGATATATATAATATCTATCATATTAAAATAGTGTGGAAGAATGTGAATTAAGTTTGTAGTGCGTGAATAAAATTTATAGTGGGTAAACTAATTTTATGGACATAAATTAAA